AGATTTTGGAACTATTACAAAGGAGTCTTTAAAGAGAATAACAAAATGGGGGGCCAAGTATTTTACCCACGATAAGTCGTACCACCCCGTCCCGCAGACCAGTATGGAGTTTGCCAATAACAACTTTATACAACCGCTGCTGGTAGAAGAAATTAGTCCCGAGACGGAAACTGCTATGAAAGAATTGGTAGAGAAATATCGTCCCGTGAGGCAAAGGACAGTCCGGGAAGAAACTACAAAGGACAAAGCAGGGGCTTTACCACCGGCAGTCTACTCGAAGGAACAAGATTGTGATAGAGTGGACTTGATGGAGGGACTAGGGAACGATCTTAACACTGAGGAACCGATAGATTTTACCATGGATGAAGAAGAAAAAGAAGAAGACCTATTCGTTCATGCTACATCTGAAGGTGGAGATGCGCCACAAGTCACATTTGTGGACGACTGTCTAGTTGCAGTGGCGGTTGCTGAAGCGCGACCCCGCCAGATGAATATGAACCCGACTCAGGAGATGACGTTTCTGATAGGGAGGACTAAGATATTGCGCCTGTTACCATTTTAAGATCTGGGCGGCCAATACGTGCCCATTTTCGACTTGATTTGTAAGGTATGCTTATAGTAGATATGTTTCATGTTTCACAGGAGAAAACATATTGTTTGTTACTCTCTTCCCAACGCGCCTGTTTGGGCGAGTGCAATATTCCCTGATCACTTCATCCCAGCCAATCACAATTGAGCCATTGACAAACAATACCCAATCAAATCAAACGAACAAAAAAAGAAAGAACTCTTCCGATATTTATTTGTCTTTCTCACGATATACTTCAAATATTTTGAAGGTGAATTTTGATGAGCTAAGGGTCTAAGGGTTAGAGAGGAATTTTATGCTCGGGCAACCAGGAGAGTAACGATAGAAAGCCGCTTGTAATGAATTCAACTCCAAATTTGAAAAAGAAAAGGTTATTAGTGAAGCAATTTTCGAATTAGTGATACAATTTACATTTAATCTGCCTTTTAAACTAAATTTTGGATAAAAAAGAAATAACTAAATTACTTAATTAATTATTAACAGCCAATTAATAACTGACAACTGAAAAATAGCCTTAAATTTAACTGACAACTGACAAATGGCCAAAATTTTAACTGACAACTGACATTTGTACCCCCCCATCCAGACCCTCTATAATGGGGTAGGGGCTCTGAGAGGCCAGCGGCACAAACCCTGCAAAAATTAACCCAAGTACTCCCCCGGGAAAGAGCTACCCTCCAAAAGGAGGCCATCGAGGAAAATATGAAAACTAATTATAAAGCATATGAGGGGTGATATTAAATCTAATATACAGTTACTTAATATTTGTCTCACAAAAGATCATCTTATAGCAGACGCTGTAGACTGATGGATTCTTCCACTAAGGAAGTTGGTCTGATACTTCCTGTTTTTCTCCGAATACTGCCGGATATGCTTTGTGATGAGTGACCTCCTAATCTTCTAACGAGGCTCAAATACGCTCTGTGTGTGATTTGAAGTAAAAACAAAAACTGGAATTTCAATTGTCGCAGTTGTGCTGTGATACGCCCTACCCTACCCCTGGAACTTGCTTGACAACCGGACTGGTGACAAATTTCAGTCGTAATGTCCTCACGAAATACAGTTTTCCTTCAAAATCCTTCCAATTTTCTATGTCCACTTTAATTTTATCAAGGTATTATGATTTCCGTATTACATGAGATTGAGGCGGTTTGTTTCAATCGTCTACTAATCCCCTAGTATCAAATTCCCCACCCATCCCTCCCCCCTTCGAATCCCTAATCCCTGTTGACACCTGCTACGCAGTAAGACAAATTTTTACTTTCCGTGCTCATCAGTAAGTAGCCAGCTCCGGGTTTTTCTACTCCCGGGGTGGGAACTCATTAATGCTTCTGTTTGATCAAAAGTTTGACGCGAACGGGAAGGGTTCTAGCGGTACGCTTTAAAGCTTTATGTTGCTTTTAGGTATTGTTTGGTAGCCAGTAGCACGCGCTGCCTCCACTGTAAGCAGTTCCTCAGAAAAACGTAACCCCAAATTACTGAAGGACTCCACTAATCAAATGTCGCCATCGCCCAAATGCACCGTATTTTTAACGATCAGCGTTAGGAGGAAGCAAAATTCTGGTTTTGCGCTGGCCGCAGTCAGCCTAAGAGTCAGGAAAATCACTATCCCATGTTTTCTTTCTGTTAAAGAATAATAAAATTCGTTTCCCCTCCAGTCTGGGATTTTTTTGCTCTTCCAGGGATTTGCTGCTCACTCGGTACATCTTTAATAATTGAATGTCATTTATAGAAGAAGCGTGATGGTTTCGAAATGCCCTCGGTGGGGTACTCCCTATAATGCCGTATACGGGGAAGTCGTCCTCTTCTATCTCGGACTATTTTCCTTCATCATATTCTTAAAATGAAGCCAACATTAGTCGGTTAGTGATGATTTTTTATGGCCGCTTAATAGAGGTGACAAAAATGGCAAAACTCTCATAGTAACAGCAAAAAGGTGGCCGCGATCGCTAAATAGAGGTGGCCGCCCAATAGAGGTTTAATTTCCCATTCTTTTCTACAATTATTTCGGGGCATTAATTACTGTCCGCTTAATGGAGGATGACCGCTAAGCTTAATAGGTGGCCACTTAATGGAGGTTCAACTGTATACGGAGTGGGATGATAACCATGTATGCATAATAAATTGGTGAAAGAGCTGAGAGGAAATCCTACATGATGGGTACTATCGCTGTAAAAGTCCTCCGCGATCTGAAAAATCATAGACAACACGGCCTTATTAAAAAGAGACATATTTTGACAGACGTTTAACCCCGGAAATTTAAGAAACAAATGCATTTCTAAGGTATTAAAAGGAATCTTGGAGTTCCAGGGTAACTTCAGCTAATGCAATGCCTACCTTAGTTAGAAATTCCCAAGTAGTCTTGATAGTTAGCTTGATTTGTCACGACGAAAGGGTCTACGAGGAAATGATATTTTGTAAGACAAGTATAAGAATAAAAGTCAACTGCATTTTCCTTCACAAAATAGCAGGACTTGTACAAAACTTACCTAAAGCAACAATCAACCCTTCTACCCCGAAAAAGTTGAACCTAAGGGATTTTTCTAGCTGTCAGTTTCATTTTGATCAAATTACTTCAACAAAAGTGACGTAAGTGCTTCCAGAAATAGCTCCCACCAAAATGCAGCCATCCACAAAAATTTTAAACTAATTATAAAGCATATGAAGGGGGACATTAAATCTAATATACAGTTACCAGGGGCACCCACGCGAATATAGTTCAAAACCATTTAAACACAGCATAGATATAGGCATATTTTTATCCCCTAAAAAAATTTTCACCTGTTCGGACTTCCTTGCTGAAAGTCTATTGATCCGAAAATTATAGGGATCAAAACTTACCTTTTCGAAATTTTCAGCCAGAAAAAAGGCTCCCGAAAACTCTAGGTAACCTTTTTAGGGTAAAAATCCGTTAAAAATGGGCAATTTTACCATTTTTTAGATGTTCGAAAATCCTAGGAGAGGCAGGCAAGCAAGAAATTTTACAATAAATGTTCATCTCAAATCGTCTTCCGAACAGATAATTTCCGAAAATTGACGTTGGGTGCCCTGAGTTATTTATTTTTCTCTGAGCGAAAAAACAAAAAGCTCACAAAAGATCTTAACAGATGCTGTAGACTGAGGGATTCTTCTACTGAGGAATTTGAAGTTGGTCTGATACTTCCTGATCTTCTTCGAACATTGCCGGATATCGATATGTTCGTCTGCTACACAAGCCGTTGTTAGTCTCGTCACGCAACGTTCCTCAAAAGTGTGACGGGGATGGGTTCCAGCGTAACGCTTTAAAATCTTTATGCGGCTTTAAAGTATTGTTTGGTAGCCAGTACCGCGCTCGCCTCACTGGGAGCAGTTTCTCAAATACATGTAACCCCAAATTACTAAATGATTCCATCAGTTGTAATCGAATGTCGCCATCGCCCAAATACATGGTTTTTTTCACTCGGTAGATCTTTAAAAAAATTGAATGTCATTTGCATTATAAACGTGAAGGTTTTCATTCAGATAATGAGAAGCCCCGGTGGGGTCACGCTCGCTATAGTGGCGTATACGGGAAGGACGTCCTCTTCTATCTCAAACTATTTTCCTTCATCATGCATTCTTAAAATATAGCCAACCTTAGTCTGTTATGGCCGCTCAATAGAGGTGAGAGAAATAGAAAAACCCTTGTTGGAACGGCAGTATATAAAGGTGGTCGCGATTGTTAATAGAGGTGGCCGCTCAATAGAGGTTTAATTTCCCATTCTTTTCTGCAATTATTTTCGGGCATTGATTACTGGCCGCTTAATGGAGGATGACCACTTAATAGGTGGCCACTTAATGAGGTTCAGCTGTGTACAGAGTGGGATGATAACCATGTATGCATAATAAATCAGTGAAAGGGCGGAGAGGAAATCCTACATGATGAGTAATATCTCGGAAAAAGTCCTCTGCGATCTGAAAGATCATAGACAACACGGACTAACATACTTTGACAAAAGTTTAACCCTGGAGATTAAGAACCAAATGCTTCAGTCTAAGGTAAAGGAACCTTGGAGTTCTAGTGTAACTTCAGCTCATGCAATGCCTACCTAAGTTATAAATTCCCAAGTAGTCTTGATCGGTTCGCTTGATTTGTCACGACGAAGGGGTCTACGAGGAAATGATATTTTGCAGGACAAAATTTAATTTAAAAGTCATTTTCATTTTCCTTCAAAAAATAACAGGACTTGCACAAAACTTACCAAGCCACAATCAACCCTTCTACCAAACTCGAAAAAGTTGAACCTAAGGGATTTTTCCCTTTTGTAATTTAGCTTGCAGTTACACTTTGATCAAATTACGTCGACAAAAGGGACGTAAGTGCTTCCAGAAATAGCTCCAAAAATGCAGCCAACCAGGAAAAATTTGAAAACTAATGAAGCAGATGAGGAGTCACATTAAATCTAAATATACAAATAATATTTCTCGAAAGAAATAACAAAAGGCTCGCAAACTAGAGCTCTTACAACAGATTCTGTAGACTGATGGAATCTTCCAGCGAGGAAGTTGGTCTTAGACTTCTGTTTTTCTCCTTACACTGCCGGATATGCCTCTTGTGTGACCTTTAACAAGGCTTGCACTTTGTGTGTTATTTGAATTTATTGTTGCAGATGCACTATCATATACCCTACCCCTGAGACTTTCTTGACAACCGGACTGGCGACAAATTTCAGTGGTAGTATTACGAAAGATAGTTTTCCCTCAACTTCTCCCTATTTTCTACTGATTCGCTATATTTTTAT